GAGGTGGCAGGTACCCCCTGTGCCCAGGGTGTGGGGGGCCCTCTGCCCTCCCCTTGGACCTGTGCACTGGCCCCGGGCTGGGGGATCGCTGCCCGGCAGGGCTTCCTTTCCCCATGCTGCATGGCACAGAGGGCGAGCGGGTGGTACCGGGGCAGGATCAGCTTCCAGCCGCAGGGAAGCTGCTTTTTCCTTGCACCTTGAACAGCCCGGGGCACCCAGCTGCAGGAGCCCAGGGAAGCTGCCAAATCCCTCCTTGGGCGCTAGGGATGTGGCAGGGCGAGGCACTGCTGGCTCCGTAGGCCTGGGCGCATCGGTCCTGCGGGCAGGCACAGACTGGGGCAGGCTGAAGGTACCCACACGCATCTTGCCCAGAGGAGATGGTGTGACCTTGGCTGGCTTGGCTGGGGGTGATTGAGAGGGGGCAGCTGCAGCTTTAAGGCTGGAGCAGGTTGGGGCGTGTGTCCCTTGGACCTGTGCGCTGTGCTTCCTGCTCAGGCACAAGCATCCTGCTCGGGCGGAGCTGCCACGTGTCTCCACGTCTCCTCCTCGCTGTCCCTGCAGGGCCAGGGACACGCTCACGGGCAAGAGCTGGCTCTGCCGGGGCTGCAGCAGCAGGGCTAGGCCAACTCGCAGGTCTGTGTGAGCAAGCCACTCCTGAGACAAAGGTCGCTCTCGCTGCCTGTTTGTGGGAGCTCCTCAGCCAGGATCCTCCTCCTTCTCTAGGCTGCACGAGGCCTCAGCTCAGCAGGATACCTTGACTGGGCTTCGCCCCAGACTGGGGTGCCTTGGCTCCCTGTTTGGCCTGCAGCAGCCGCTCAGACAGGTAGAGGATGCTCGGCAGCTTGTGCACAAGGACAGCCAAAACGGCTGCATGCCAGCATATGCAGGCTCCTTCTGATCTGGGAGTGCAGAGGGAGAGGCTGAGAAGGAGCTGAAAGTGGCTAAGGGCTTCTGCAGCAAGACACGTCCCTCGGGACGCTGATCTGTGTGAAGCACCCGTGCTTGTGCTCTCCTTCTAGCGCAGCTTCCCATCGTGCGGCAGCAGTGCCACCTTCTACTGCAGAACAGGCAATGGGGACCCTCGCCTCTGCCTGGGGCAAGGCCGTGCCCTGCAGTCTCACCCGAGCTTCGTGCAGCACCAAGCTCCAGCTCTCTGACCTGCTGCCTCTCCTTTCCACTGCCAGGTTCTCCTCACCCCCAGTCTGATGCCCGTCCCGCCTTGCCATGAGTCTATGAGCTCCCTCCGGATCAGCATCGGTGGCCTTCCTGTCCTTGCGTCCATGACCAACGGTGCTGACCCTCGTTTCCGACTGCGCTGGAAGGCCATCGTGCTGTCCTCAGCCTGTGTGGTGTTCGTGCTGCTGCTTCTCTGCTTGCACCGCTCCTCCCCGGCACGGCCCATCCCGCCCAATCCTCACAACTGGCGGCTCAGCCTGCAAGCAGGGGACCGCTACAATGACACCTACCCACTGTCCCCACCCCAGAGAAACCCTGAGGGTGTGCGCTACCGCATCGGGGTCATTGCAGACCTGGACACGCAGTCCCGGGGCGCTGAGGAGCACACCTGGTTCAGTTACCTGAAGAAAGGTTACCTGGTGCTGTCAAACAGCGGGGACAGCGTGACAGTGGAATGGGACAAAGACGAAAGCATGCTGCAGTCGCACTTGGCTGAGAAGGGCAGGGGCATGGAGCTCTCGGAGCTGGTCGTCTTCAACGGGAAGCTGTACTCTGTGGACGACCGCACGGGTGTGGTCTACCAGATTGAGGGCAACAAGGTGGTGCCTTGGGTGATCCTCTCAGACGGGGACGGCACTGTGGGGAAAGGTGAGTCTGCGCTCTCCTGCCTGATTAGCTGTGCCTGCACAGGGGAGACCCTGCAGACTCGGAGCAGTGAAGCCTCTGGCCCTTTGTATCGTGGTGAGGTGGGGTGCACCTTTTCTGTGACCACACAGGCCTGGTCAGGAGGACGATGCCTGACCAGGGACCAGCTGGCTGAGAGAGGCTCCAGCACTGAGCCATCTTGCGCAGTGGTCAGGGAAATGGGAGCAAGGAGCCATGGGGTGGTCTAATGTCTGTGTGCTGCTGAGCCCCCACCTGGCTCATGCCGTTCTCTTCCCTGCAGGCTTCAAGGCAGAGTGGCTGGCAGTGAAAGACGAACACCTCTACGTGGGAGGACTGGGTAAGGAGTGGACCACCACAACGGGAGAGGTGGTGAACGAAAACCCCGAGTGGGTGAAAGTCATCGGCTACAAAGGCGACGTGGGCCATGAGAACTGGGTGGCAAACTACAACGCACTGAGGGCCGCAGCTGGGATCCGACCTCCAGGTACTAAGCAAGGCTCATTCCGGCTACCGCGTGTCCCACACCCTGTGCGCGCGCCACAGCTTGGATCTCCCTGTGGATGTGGAGACTGGCCCGAGATGTAGAGGATATGAGGCCTGAGTGAGCCTCCCCCCATTCTGGCAGAGGAGGTGAGAACCTCCTCTGTCCACAGTCCTCTCCCCTCTATCTGTGCCATGAGCAGCTAGCTGGAGGATAGCTCAGCCAGTGCTGTGTCTGGCAGGCTGGGCTCCCGTGGGCAGAGGAGGCAGTGCCATGGGGTGTACCCTGCTCTGCTTTGGGAGATGTGGCTTGCCCTGCTGGGAGATCAGCACTGGGCGACAGTGCAGGAGGAGGCGGAAGTGTTGGCGATGTGAGCCTGTGCATGATTCTGACTCCCTAACCGTGGGTGCTCGTTTGGTCTGGAGAAAAAGTCCTGCCCCAGCCCAGCCAGCACCCGGTGCTTGCTCAGCCTCACGGGGTGTTGTGCTTGCCCTGCGCTGTGACACCCTTCTTCTCTGCCCTAGGTTACCTGATCCACGAGTCAGCATCCTGGAGCGACACCCTGCAGCGCTGGTTCTTCCTGCCACGCCGTGCCAGCCACGAGCGTTACAACGAGAAGGCAGACGAGCGGCGGGGTACCAACCTGCTGCTGAGCTCCACCCAGGACTTCGGGGATGTCAAGGTAGGACGTGTGGGTGATGTGGTCCCCACCCACGGCTTCTCCTCCTTCAAATTCATCCCAGACACAGACGACCAGATCATTGTGGCCCTGAAATCAGAAGAGGACAATGGCAAGATCGCCAGCTACATCATGGCCTTTACTCTGGACGGGCACTTCCTCCTGCCTGAGACCAAAATCGGGAGCGTGAAATACGAGGGCATTGAATTTATTTAACAGACTTTTGCACTGGACTGGAGGGATGAGGGAGGCTTGGGAGGGGTGCTGGGGCAGGCCCTGGCAGCGTGCAGCTAGCAGGGCCAAGCATGCCTGCCCCGGGCTCACCGGTCAGGCTCCAGTAAGCCAAGGGACGTCTTGCAGCACTCCCAGCTCTGTAGTTGGCTATGGCACCTCCTGTAAAGCGTTGGCTTTGCTGCAGTTTGTGTGGTGTGAGTGTTTCGGTAGTGGCACCTGGTGGCAAAGGACTGTCACCGCATGGTGTTCCCAGCCTCCCACTGGCCTGCAAGGCCCCAGCCCAGGGCCCCCAGCTGCCAGAGAAGATGAAATAGTGAAGTTCCCCTTGCACAGTTTGCCCCGGGGTAGCCTGGGCTGCAGCCATTAGTGCCCAGCCCAGCCCCTGCTTGCAACAGAAACCCTCTGTGTTGAGTTGGTGGCTCTGTGATGACAGCCCGGGCTCTGGGTTTCCAGCTAAGGAGTGAGTCTGAGTTCCAGGATGAACATGCTCTAGAGCCTGATCTCAGTTCTAGTCCATGCTGGCTGGGGTGAAGGTGTCTTCCCTGTGGTGTTTTGCTGAGCCGTTGCTGTGCCCAGAGGAGACTGGCCTCTGCTCCCTTGGGTGCTCTCAGGAGCCTACTTGTCCTTAAGGCCATCTCCACGCTGCACATCCTTCCCCTGACCATGTACCTGGGGAGGGACCAACGGGGCTCTGCAGGGAGCAGCACCCAATGCCTCTTCAGATGTTTGCTGGGCTTGTAGAGAGGGTTATGGAGAGAACAAGTAATCCCCACTGCAGGCTAGATCACTTGTCCCCTCACGGATGTGTAATTGGCAGAGAGCTGGGACTGAGCCCTGGTGCAGAGCAGCACAGCCCTTCTAGAGCCTTGGCAAGGGACGGCTGAGTTCCCATCCATCCCTCTGCTACAACCTGCCCTGCTGCTTTGGGCCCTTTCTGGGGGGAACATCAACTGTCTCATGTCCCACCGAGCTCCCTCCTGCTGCTGCTGGTTCCTCAGTTCTTCCCATTGTGCCTCATTGCTCCATGGCGGGTGGAGAAAGGGGTGACAGTCAGCTGGAGCACTGAGCCAGTCCTGGTACCTGGAAAAGTGGGTTTGACTTGGGTCCTGGAGCCGAGCCACGCTGCCATTGTGTCCCAGGGCCCTGTGGGCCTCCCAGCAGCCACCTGCGTCCTGGGGAAGCAAGCGGCAGAGCTGCTGTCTGGGGGAGCTTCCTGTTTGTGTCCCAAGCACCCAACACAGGACATGCTCAAACCATGGGGAGAAACATCCCTGTGGGGAGGAATGTCCTTAATGGGGACCTTGGTTGTATCCTGCCCCGTTCCTCCCTGCAGCAAGCCTGGTATCAGGAGGGTGACCAGGCAGGGTTGCAGGGTCACAGGCCGCAGCAGGGTGTCACAGCCAGGGCAGGAGACAGCTGGCCAGGATTTCTCGGCTGTGGGGGATTTCATCAGGCTGTTTTTTTCCCAAGTAGCTGTTTTTTCTTCCCTCCTCACCCCCCTCCCCCCCCCCATAAGCAGAATTTGGTAACTGCTTGGGTGACAAACTGCCTGGGTCATTGCTTTCTGGGGAAAGTCTCATGTGGGAGGAAACTGCGATGATGTAGCTGATCTCTGGATGGGATGCAGTAGTTTCTGCACCACCAGTAATGCGGAGGCAGACGCTTTCAACAGCCTCAAGGGCCAGAAAAGATCTGGGGCTTGGTAAGAGCTGTGCTAAGCTCTGTCGGCTGCTCAGGTGCGAGCATCGAGACAGAGCAGCCCTGAGTTTGGACCATGTGGCCACCCTCTCCCCTTCCTGCCCAAGTGTGCTCTGGCAACAGTGGCTGGGGGCTGCAGGCCACTTCTGGTGCACATCCAGCTGTTCACAGCTATACCAGAACACAAGTCTTGGCCTGCAGAGCTAGGAGAAGCGAGCATACACCCAAGGGTCTGATAAGGCCACCAGCCACAGCAGGGTGGGATGTGGGTGCTTTTCTGCTCTCAGCCCCACCACATTCCCAGCCTGGTCCTAGAGGAGGTGCACAGCTTCCTGTCTTCTTTCCAGCCCTGTCTGTGCATTGCTCAGGCCTCTGAAGTGCCTGTAAATCCAGAGCTGTTGGCTCTGGAGAGGGCCATTGTCCAGCCAGAGGCCTGGACTGAAACCACCAAGCCATGGCCTGCAGTGCTGGGCAGGAGCTGGGAAGGTGGCAGGGCCATACCTGCTCCAAGGTTGTACAGCACGGGAGGGAGAGCTAGGAGCACCAGCTTGGCTTCCCAGGATCGGCAGCAGCTGGGGAGTGTTTGCAGCATGCCCTGCAGTGTCCAGGCTTGGCTGGCCGGGGAGCCCTTCCAGCACTCACCAGGGATGTTATGAAATAGTGGCCGCAGCCTGCAAGCCCCATAGGAGGAATTTATACAGATCTTGGTGACTAAGAGTGCAAGACACCAGCGTCTCCAGCCTGCGTGGCCAGGGCCTGCAGCAGCTGGCAGCTGAGGTTGCAGAGAAAGCTTCCTGTGCTGTGCACGCTCCCCTTGCTGCACGCGCTCCTGACGGCAGGAGGCTCCTCGGCTGCAGAGATGGGTGTGCAGCCAGACTGCAACCCCAGGCAGCCTGCAGCCCGCTGGCCCTGGCAGAGAAGCCCCTGTTTTGAACCATCTGCTCGGCAGTCAGGGCTCTGCCATGGAGCAGTGGCAGACAGAAGCCTTGCAGTGAACCTCCTCCAATGGCTCCAGCCATGGAGGTGGCTCTGGAGCAAGGCTGCATATAACCCAGGTGTGCAGGCCATGAGGGGCTGCAGGCACTGTTCCCCCAGCCCCAAGCATGGGGAAGGGCCCTAGCTGGCCTTGCTCCTGGAGCAGTATTCCTTCCTTCTTTAAACCTCTCCGTGGGGTCAGACCTGGCAAGTCCCATCCAGATCTTGCTGCACCCATCTCCTTGGGCCCCAAAGCCTTGGCAGGCTCAGCCTCTCACCCTCCCATGAACTACATCTCATTGCCCTTGGTGCTGTCCAGACTGGGCCACCCTCATGTCCTCAGCTTGGGCTCACTCTGAGCCCTCCCATTTTCCCAGTGCCATTTAGGCAGAGAGGACAAGGCTGTTCTGGCCCCTGCAGTGGGGCATTGACAGGCCTCTTGACTCAGTGAGGAGCTTCCCTGCGGGCGGCTGCACAGCCTTATTCCTCACGCGTCCTTCCCTTCCTACGAAGGGCTGTCAGGGGAGAGGTGCAGGACAAGCTAGGCCTGAGCAGAAGCTGAGGGCCTGGAGAGTGCCATGAGCTCTCCTGCCTCCTCGCGGTGCCCAGCAGGACAGGTAGCACAGGTGAGTCCCTGTGCTCACAGGTTTTGGGAGACATTAATTGTGTGCAAGGATGGTACTGACCTGCTCCATGTGTGTGTGGCAGCGCATGTGCTACTGAGTCGATACATGCCCTCCGTGCACTCCCGCGTACCTGCATGATGGCTTGGACCATTGGAGTGGGGCTGTGGAGCTTGCCTCGGGCTAGTGTTTGCCCTGGCCTTTCCCCTTGCTCTGGGCAGCCCCAGAGTCAGTGAGGAAGGGAGCAAGGTTCCCAGGGCACAGCACTCCCCCAGCAGTTGCGCAGGCCCCTGGACCCTCCTTCCTGTCCTGCTACCTGTGAGCAGATGGACTGCAGATCCTGCCTGCAGTCCCATGCTCCCTCGGACTAGCTGAGCCCCTGCCCCAATTCACAGGGCAGCATGGCTTTGCATCAAACACCGGGCATGGAAAAGGTCTGAGTGTCTGGCTCTCTGGCTGCCCTCCTGGCTTCTCAGGTGAGAACCTGTCTGCCTGGCCAACAGGGACCAGGGCACCTGAGGGCTAGAGGGAAACCATGCTGTGCTCCTTTAAGAGCTCAACTGGCACGAGGAGATGGGGGCTTCTCACAAACACCCAAGTGCTCCCAGTAATAGCTAACAGCTGGCGGGAGAGGCAGGCACTAGCAATGCTGAGCAGGGCTCGTGGCTGGGAGGGATGGGGCAGCTGGCTGAGAATGTGGTGGCCGTGATGCTAAGAGCTTCCCCAACCCCTGGAGCCCTGGCTGTGGGAGCTGGCCCTCCTTCCTCTATGGAGCTGACTCTGTGGTCCAGGACCACCACAGGGACAGGTCTGATGCCTCCTGATGCTCCGCTTGCCTCCAGGAGCCGTGGAGCCCTGAGAGCTCTGCACAGGGGATGCTGCTGGCCAAGCTGCTCGTGGAAGGGTAGTGGTACCTGCAGCTGGTGCCAGCTGGGAACAGGCAATGGCATAACTTTTCCATCTGATCATAAACCCCAAGACCTGATCTTCATCCATCAGCTCAAAGTGGGGGATGCTACCTCCAGCCCAGTGCATCGGACCAGGAGGTGTGCAGTGGTAGGTGCCCTGGGGCACAGGGTCTGACTGTGACTCCCACTGAGCCTTGCCCCAGAATGGGTCCTGGTATCACAGCCCTGTCAGGCAGTCGCTTGCTTTGCAGTGAGCTGTGCACCTGGTCCTGCACGCAAGACCATGTCCAGGCCTCTTCCCTGGCTTTCCTGCGGGTCTGGCTGTCCCTGTCCCATTGCCTCTTCCCTGCTTGTTAAGAACGCTGCCTTGTAATGGTGTGCAAGCCCCGAGCTGGCAAGGCCAACGTGCTCCTGGGTTGTCTGTCTGGGACTCCCTGCGGCTGCAGCTCCCTGTGACGATCCTGCCCCGTGGGCAGCTCTGCCAACAGGCAGGGCCTTCAGAGACCTGGGACCGGCTGCTGCAGATCAGGGGTCCTTTGGCCTTGGGACTCCCCGTGCATCCCCTATCTGCCCTGGCGCTCAGGGCACCTGGGGCGGCCCAAACCCGAGCGCAGGGACCATCAGAGCTAAGCGGGAAGGGGAGGGGGGGAGAGGGGTCTGGTCCTGCGCCGGTTGCGCTGCGGTTGGGTGGGAGGACCTATGGGGAGCTGGGGGGGCGAGGGGGCCCTCCTGAGAGCTCAGCCAGGCAGGCTGCTTCCCATCCCCCTCCTCTGTCCCTGTTTACAGTGTCCAGCACCTCCGGAGAGCTGAGTAAGGAGCGCGTACCGGGCTGGACATGTGTTTTCATTTAGCCCAGACAACAATGACTCACTGCAGGGTGCTGGGCTGCGAGAGGACACTCGTCTCTCCGCAGGGCAGCTCTCCCCGGGGGCCGGACCTGTTCCCTGGCACGG